ACATAGACACCAGTATTTCACCAAAAAAAGGAAGTCATATCTACATTACTGAAGAGGTTTACAACATGGGTGTCAAACTCGATTTCACTGAGGGCCTCATTAGCGTTGTGTTTGATCTTGGGAGGTAGGGTGGGTGTGGCCAGCTATATTTCACCCGGGTCAGGGGTGCCTGCGGTGGCCTGAGAGCTCTGCCAGCGAAAATGGGCTGTTTCCAGAATGGCCCTGCAGGTTAGATCTAAGCACCCCGTGGGCCAGATCTGGCCCCCGGGCCTTGAGTTGGACACACCTGGTTTAGAACAACAAAAAGCAAAAATGCTCAGTTGCCTTTTGGAAAAGCATCCCCGAGACCACCACGGCCATAGTTTTCCTTGAAAATTATGAGGCATCCTCTGGCTCATGGGTAGGACAGAACTGAAGAAGTTTGTGGCTTGAGAAGCAAAATGTTTTCAACAGGGGAAAAAACTCAAGACAGTCCAGTTGACTTTGGAAAAGCACCTCTGGGATATATTGTAGAGTTTTCTGGGATATACTGTAAAAGCTACACTGTCACGAGCTGACATAAAACTAAGGTTTCATAACTGAAGAGNGGCCAGAAACCCACTCCCACCAGGTCACATGGCTGGCAAGCCACTCCCACAAAGGAGGCCACACCCACAGAGTAGGTTCCCAAAAAAATTGAAACCCACCACTGGCCTGCTTGCTTTTTGATTTAGCACGATAGCTGAAACCAGCCAGGCTGTTATATGTGGTTAGTTTCCATCCCTGTTTGTTAACAGACACGGATGGCTGGGTTTGTATGCTGTGCTAAACTATCATTTGCAATGACATACTACACCAAACTAAATTAAAGAGAAGGACTGAAATGGTATAAGGCCATGATGGAGAACCTATGGCATACGTGCCAGAGGTGGCTGCACCCAGCCCTCTCTGTGGGCAAGCACACCGTCGCTCCAGCTCAGCCAGCTGGGTTTCTAGCACTGTGGTGCGTGCATACGTAAGCACATATGCGTGCACCTTCAGGTTTGGGCACCCTGTGCCTAAAAGTTTCACCGTCCCTGGTATAGAGTTTCTTTCCCAAGCAGGGGGTTGGACTAGAAGACCTCCAAAGTCCTTTCCAACTCTGCTATTCTGTTATTGTTGTTATGTTATTATCTATGAGAGCAGGTTTCCAGTACTTGTGGGGCAGTTACAAGGAAGAGGGGATTGACTGATTCTCTGCCCCGGAGGCAGGGCAAGTAGTAATGGGTGGAAGCTAGTTAAAGAGAGATTCTAACCTAGAACTAAAGAGAAATTTCCTGACGGTGTGAAAAAGTTGTGAGTGCTCCATCACTGGAGGTTTTCAAGAAGAGACTGGGTAACTCTTTGTCCAGAATGGTATAGGATCTCCTGCTCAGGCAGGAGGTTGGACTAGAGGACCTCCAAGGTCCCTTCCAACCCTATTATTATATGTTCCAACATGTTATGGTTTTGCTAAGAGGGTGAACTCGGCTGCCGTGGCTTCAGCCGCAGAATGTGATAAAGACTAAATACGACTTCACTTAGGTCAGGCTTTCCCAACTTTAGCAACTTGAAGATGTGTCAACTTCCCAAGTCCCAGATTTCCCAGTGCCAACTGGGGAATTCTGGGAGTCGGAATCCGCCCATCTTCAAGTCGCGAAGGTTTGAGAAACGTTGGCTTAGGGCATTATACAACCCCAGTCGATCTGTACACAGAGGAAAGGAGATTCGGTTTCGGGATCTGGTTGAAACTGCTCGCTCTTCTGGAGAAATGAAGTGAATTTCAGGAATGTTGAATATGTTGTCACCTCCAGAATTGCCACTGGGATGAGCTTAAAAATCTGTGTGATGGAGAATTGGGCAGCAAAGAGATTGAGGTGCTGTTTTTAAACCTCTTTGGTTGATTCGAGCCGAGGTGGCGCAGTGGTTAGGGTGCAGTACTGCGGGCCACTTCAGCTGACTGTTATCCGCAGTTCGGCGGTTCTAATCTCACCGGCTCAAGGTTGACTCAGCCTTCCCTCCTTCTGAGGTG